TATATGCTAATAAAATGAGAAAAAAAATAAAAGAAATCGCCTCGGGAAAAAATCCTAGCCTGATTACTCTGCTGTTAAGATCAGGATCCACAAACCACAATTGCAGGCACAGAGATGCTACTCTGCTCTAATTTAGTGTTCTAGAAACTCAAGTATGTACAGATAATTTCTTATGAAAACAGATAATCACAAAGAGCCTGCAGAGATAGAAAAAGTTTTAACCTCTCATTGATTTCCTCAGAGACACGTGAGTTTGTAGCCATGGAACAAAAGAGGCTATATTCTTAAGACAGCAAGAGTAGAAATAATGAATATAAGAGGTAAAACTTTAAAAACAAACCAGGAGTCAAAAGATGGAATTATAGAAGTTTTCTAGAGAAGAGTATAAACATATAAGGAAAACATAGAGAATAGAAGTGAATTGACCAGGGTATCAGTTTTTCAGCTGAATTTTAAGAAATAAAACAACAAAAAAATATAATCTAGGAAATCAGATTATAGGGTAACAAGTTTCTAGCTATGCCTTAGAACTAGATTAATAATAAATTTTTTTAGGTTATGTCCTTGAACAACAAGCTTCACTTCCAACTTTGTTTTGGTGGTTAATTGGAGATAAGAGACTACAGTCTTTCCTGCCCAGACTGGCTTAAGCAATCTCAGCCTCCTGAGTAGCTAGGTTTATAGGCATGAGCTTCTAGTGAGCAACTCATGGGGTTTTTTTGTTTGTTTTTTTGTGTGTGCCAGGCCTTGGGTTGAACTTCTTTGGCTCAAGGCTAACTTGGGCCACAACACCAGTTCTGGCTTTTTCTGAGTAGTTTACTGGAGATAAGAGTCTCACAGACATTCCTGCCCTGGCTGCCTTTGAACCATGATCTCAGATCTCAGTCTTCTGAGTAGCTAGGATTACAGGTGTGAGCCACTGATAACCTGGCTCCATTTAATCTCATAATGAATTTTTTTATTGAGACAAAATACATAAAAGTTCTCTTAAAGGATAAAAACAATAAGCAAATGATGAGGAATCAGAATGTAATCAAACATCTCAATAACCTTGAAAATTCTGATCAAGACTGCACTCTAGAAGCCCAAACTATCAATTGTGTATGGTGGTAAAAATGAAGGTATTTGTCAGACAAATTAGTGTCAAAGCTTCTTCCCTTATGTCTTTCCTAAGGAATCTCCTGCAAAACATTTCTGCCAGGCAAACCAAAAAAGAACAAATGCCTATTAGAACATGGAAAACTATAGGCTAAACTGAAAAGCGAAGCAGACACTCCAGAGAATGACTGGGGAGCTCTAGGTGTCCATCAGGGCAGCAGATTAGCTAACAAGCATCCAGCTTGGAGGTATGTCTGGAAGAGACACCTTCTAGCAGATAAACAAGATGTCTGATCTCTTGGCACATTGTGCAAATGTATTTAGACAATTGCAAGAGAATTGAGGGATTGATTCATAATAAATGTTTACTCAGAGTAGTCTAATGTAGCCAGTGGCTCACTCCTGTAACCCTAACTACTCAAGAGGCTGAGATCTAAGGGTTGTGGTTAAAGCCAGCCTGGGAAAGTCCATGAGACTTATCTCCAGCGAACCACCAAAAAGCAGAAAGCAGAGCTGTGGCTCAAATGTTAGAATGCTATCCTTGAGCAAAAAAAAAAAAGAGCTAAGGAATAACATCCAAGCCCTGAGTTCAACCCCCAGTAAATGGTACCAAAAAAAAAAAAAAAAAGACAATACATAATTGTATTCTTTATTTTTAAACTGTCCAACTTCTGTATGAAAAACCTTATCATCCTCAATTCTGTAGGATGAGCAACCCACACAAATGTGAGGAGCCCTTGGTCATTAAGGCTGTTGTTAGCAGTAGCCAGACATCTCATTACAGGTGCACCCGTGGTGGAGCCCAGCCACAATCTACAGCTGAGCCATTTTTGAATTTCCAGCTTGTAGAATCATGACCTAAATGGGATGTGGGCAAATGCTTTTCAATAAAGGGCTGTATGGCCACTTTTTAGGGTTTCTAGGCCAAGAGAATGTTATAATGATTCTTCAAAATGAGTAGGAAAAAAAGGTAATTTTTATTGATGAATTCTAAGATAACAACAAAAAATATTTAGTAATGTGGACTTACTAATGAAAAGAGTAGAATTGTCTTTGAAGGAGTAACATTGTTTTGTTTTGCTTTTGTGTTAATGCTGAGACTTGAACTCAGGGTCTGGTCACTGTCCCTTAGCTTTTTCACTCAACCCTGGCATTTTAACACTTGAACCACAACTCCACTTTGGCATTTTGCTGGTCAAGATTCTCACAGATTTTCCTGCTGGGCTGGCATAAAGCCGGTATCCTCTGGTCTCAGCCTCCTGAGTAGCTGGGATGACAGGTGTGAGCTTCCACATCTGTCTGGAGGCATTTTGTTGTGCTTTGCTGTGACCATTGATGTTAGTTTAAATGTTTATTTTTTTGGCAGTACTGGAATTTGAACTCAGAGCCTTGCAGTTGCTAGGCAGATACCCTACCACTTGATTCATGATCTCAGCCCTTTTTGCTTTAGCTCCCTATTTCAAATAGGAAACACAGTCATAATATTAACGTACACATGTGAAAATGGAACCAGGTAGCTTGAAGGAAGGGAGGGAGGGGTAATTTTGGGAGAGATGGGGGAGAATGATAGGAGGGTGACATTGATCAAGATGCGTTGTACTCATAAATGGACATGTTGAATTGAAATACCTTTCTGTAACTATTTAAAGATAATTTTCTTTCTTTTTTTTGGGGGGGGGGGGGTTCTGGTTGTGGGGCCTGAACTCTGGACCTGGGCGCTGTCCTTCAGCTCTTCAGCTCAAGGCTAGCGCTCTTACCAATTGAGCCACAGCGCCACTTCCGGCTTTTTTCTTTTTGCTTATGTTGTGCAGAGGAATCGAACCCAGGGCCTCATGTATGCAAGGCAAGTGCTCTACCACTGAGCCACCTTCCCAGCCCTAAAGATAATTTTCTAAAGATTTAAAAACAAGGTCTCTTGCTTTTTGTCTGGCTTGCCTCAGAACATAAACCTGCTCCTTAGAGTTGTCACATAGCTAAGATTTACAAGCATGTAACACCCCATCTAGCTTATTTGTTGAGAATGGAGTCTTACCAACTTACTGCTCAAGTTGCCCTCCATCCACAGTTCTGTGTAATTTACCTCCCTTCTATAATTGGGATTATAGGGATGTGCAGCTGTGCCCAATCTCAATTTTCCAATTGGTTGTCTTGCTGACTAATAGAAAAATGTTGATGCCAATGTAAATAATTGAGAGCTAAAGAATTTTTTTCTATAACCTTCATTTTAATCCATGAAACACTTTAGCAGAAAATATTGCTACTTCTGAAAAAGTGCTAACATTTTTCAGAATTATAGGCCTTTTTTCCCCCTTAATGTGCTATTACGAAATCTCACAGGTGACGTGCAGTTGCTAGAATGGAATTGAGCTCTCCCCTTTGAAACACTTAGCTTACCAGGTAGAAGTTTTGCCTCCTATTTTGGTGCCCAGCACTCAGCAACTTAACTTGGCACGAGAAGCAAATAAACAATAAATCTTACCACCAGGCCACACTGAATTGTGGTATGAAGGCAAAATTCAACTGGAATTGAACAACTTCCGTATATGGATGTTCTTGAAGAATAAACACAAGTTGGAAATCCTCTGTAGATAGTACAAAGTCCAGGAAGGCAATCAATCTGTCATGTAAATATCAAACGGAAGGTTGGCGAAGAAGCCATTGGAGTCTGCCAGGCGCTTGCTGTGGAAAGGCTGCCTCCCTCTTGTGCCCTTTGACCAAGGCTAGAGGACCATCCTGCGAGACTTCCAAGAGATCCAAAACACTTTGACATACTTATTTGTAATGGTTATTATCTTTAAGTAGTTGTACAGAGGAGTTTATGAATTTATGAATATAGTGTATCTTTTTTCAATTTTGACAAAAACATTTATTGTTAAGGACGTATACAAAGGGGTTACAATTCCATAAGTCAGGTTATTAGTACAATGAGTCTTGATCAGTGCCACTCCTTCCATCCTCCCAATCTCTCCCCTCCCCTCAAATCACCTGCTTCCATTTTCACATGTGTGCATTGGATGTAATGACTGTTCAAACTCTTCCTCTCTTCATTCATCTGTCCCCTCTTCTTGATGTCATTGTGATCCAGTGAAACAGCTCTTGGGCATTTGTCCAAAGATTACAAGGCAGCACACAGTAAAGACGCCTGCACATCTATGTTCATTACTGCACTATTCACCATAGTCAAGGCATAGAAACAATTCCGATGCCCAACAATGGATGACTGATCAAGAAAATGTGAGATACATAGATATGTGAATAGATATTGCTGTAGATGTAGATACACACACGTGTACACACACATGCACAGTGGAATTGTGAGAGTGTGGGACTTATCGTTAATCCATCAGGAAGAATAGTACTATGTCCTTGCTGAAAGATATCATATATGTTCCTCTCATAGGTGAAAGTTAGAGCTAAATTACCAACATATATGAAAGCATATACAGGGTCATATGCACATATACACAAACAACTAAAGTATAATATATGCAGGGTAAGACTGTAGTGGACTAACTCCTCTGAACAACCAACAGTACAACCACATAAATACCAGAACCATTAGAAGTCCATACTCTTGTTGGAATGAGTGAGCTCTTGTCCAGTGAATGGGGTTGTTTCTTTGTTTACTGTGCCATCCTTGCTCTCTCACTTGGGTTTTTTGCTCAATACTGGTTCTCTATCACTTGAGCCACAGCTCCACTTCTGTTTTTTTGCTGTTAAGTGGAGATAAGAGTCTCATGGATTTTTCTCTGTCCAAGCTGTCTTGGAACTGTGACCCTCATATCCTAGTCATTTGCGTAGCTAGGATTACAGGTATGAGCCACCATGTTGGTGTATATAAAATGGCCTATATGGTACCTGGTGCATACCTCCCTGACATTCTTCCTCTGCCTCCCATACAGGAAACTGTTGAGGCAGCAATAAGAGAAGAGCAGAAGCGAAGTGCAAAGGCTGTGGAGGAGGCAGTGCGGAGAACAAGGGAGGAGCTGATAGAGTATGTAAAGGAACAGAAGAGGGTGAGTACTTCCTGCCCCCTAGAGCTCATCTGGTCTCTGTGAAACCACATGCCCTTTGTTGTATAATTTAGATACTAGGATTCCAGATTCTTTCCCCAGTAGGTGTATTTGTTCTAATAATTTCTACAAACATAAATGCTACTCAGACCCCAAAACAACCACCATGACTAATTTCCTGCTAGGCTACTAGGAATGTCCGATTTAACACTACGCTTATCAAGAATTTTTGTGTGTATTGGTAACTGGCTTTTGAACTCAGGGCCTGGGTGCTGTCCCTCAGCTTCTTCACTCAAGACTGGCACTGTACCAATTGAGCTGCATCTCCACTTCTGGTTTGGGGGTGGTTCTTTGGAGAAGAGTCTCATGAACTTTCCTGCCCAAGCTGGTTTTGAACCGGGAACAGATCTCAGTCTGCTAAGCACCTAGGAACAAAGGCATAAGCCATCAGCACCTGCCAACATTTGCAGATTTTTCAAATGTTTTGCCAAACAATTGTTTCTTTCTTTAACTTTTATGCATTCACCCCAGTGTGGTTCACAGGGACCTCAGTACATTTAGCAACACAGATCCTTCTGCCAGAGCTCCATTTCAGAAATCAGGGTGCATGTGGAAGTTTATAAAATAATCTCAATTTGATTAATGTGTGTGTCGAAGCAGTAGCTGAAAATGATAGATCAAATTTGATTGTCTTTTCAACATATTCTTAGTTTTAAATCGTATGTAAGGTGAAAAATACTTTCAAGTGAGATATTCAAGATAATCTCTGAAACAAACGTATCAGTTAGGAGACTAAGGCTCATGCCTGTAATCCTGACTACTAAAGAAGCTGAGATCTGAGACTCATGATTCAAAGTCAGCCTAGGCACACAAATCTGAGAGACTTATCTCCATTTAACTAGCAAAAAGCCAGAAGTGCAGGTGTGGCTCACATGGTAGAGTGTTGACCTTGAGCAGTAAAGCCAAGAAAGAGCACAAGGCACAAAAAAATAAAGCAAAAAAATAGTTAAGTTGTGTAAGAATGTTTTATAGTATATTTATATGTTTAGTTTGTTGCATATTACATAAGTTATATAGGTGTTATATGAACATATAAACTATGTATTCTTTTATATAACATAACATAATTAGATGTAAAACATAGTGGTCAGAACAGCAAAATAAGTGAAAAAATAAAAAAAAAAAACAGTAACAAATTGCTAAAGACCATTTCCATTTAACCATCCAAGAAACATTTTATGTGAGACTGGGTATTTGAATACCTTATTCAGGGGAGTTGGTGTGTGGATGCCAGTTCTGGGGCTTATACTAGGACCTGGTTGCAGCACCTTTGCTTTTTTACTCAAGACTCTACCACTTGAGCCACTTTTGGCTGTTTGGTGGTTATTTGGAGATAAAAGTTTCATGGATTATTTTGCGGGGGCTTGTTTTAAACCATGATGCTCAGATCTCAACCTCCTGTGTTGTAGGATTTCAGGCATGAGCCACCATCTTTCAGCTATTACAGAATATTTGCACATCCCTATCTTCCCACCCAGAAAGCAATTTAAAAGCAAAGAAAACATCTGAAATGAATCATCGATCACTGACACCTGGGATCATGTGACATTAGGATCCTGTGTGTCCTCCTTTCTTCCCATACTGAATTCCAGTAGCTTAAGTTCATTTTTATAGATATCTCAAGGACTGGAAATTTCTCATAAAGGAAAAGACATCTCAGAGCTTCTAAACTAAAACTTAGAAGAAACAAGTTATTTTGTTGTTTTCCTTCCTTGTCTTATACAAGTTCATATTCTTTCTTTTACCAAGACACTGAATTAGTGTCTACTTCTAGTGGAAGATGAATTTCTTTTTGACTCTGGAAACACATTTCTAGAACCAAAATTTTCCTTCCTGTTCTCCAACTTACATTTCAACTAGCAACAACCTGAAATTTTCATCATTAGGCACTTCAAAAGCCCTATAGACCTGTTTCCAACTAAGCTTAATTCCAGTCTCTTCTTGAAATGTGAATTTTTTGCAGTTGAGTTTGGTCCTTTCTCTGCCAGCTTCTTGCCTTAAACAATCTTTCCTCTGACTTAATCTTATATTTATCAAATTTACTGAAAGCTTAAAACAAGGGCTGTTTTCTGCCAGTGGTTCATGCCTTTAATCTTAGCTGCTCAGGAAGCTAAGATCTGTGAAGCTACCCAGAGCAACCTAGCAGATTCTAAGATACATGAAGTATAGGTTCCAATCTTTCCACATTTTCTTATTTGCCTTTCTTCTCCATCTCATGCAAATAGCCAAGATGACTAAACTTGTTACAAGTTAGACAAGTTTGACTGAGTGTTTTATAGCTGTAAACATTAGCTTTTCAATTTTCATACTTTATTTGGAAATGCAACATAACATTTTTTTCTTTGGCCTTAGAAAAGAGCTTTTTACATATGATTTTAAACATTTTTTAAAAATTCTATTTCCATTATCTTTAAGTTAGTTCATAAATACAAAACATCTTAGTCAGTGTTACCCCTTCCATCAGTCTTCCCCATCCCTTGTAAACCCCACCTCTTCCCTCCCAATGTTCTCAATTTTGTGGGCTGTGAGTTGAATTTCATGACTATTCTCCCTCCTTCACCTCTCTTCATCCATCTACCCCCTCTCCTTGGTTCCACCCTCCCCCTTTCAAATACTGATTTCCTGGTAGTCATTTCCTTGGACTATGAGTTAACCTTTCGAAGGAATTACATCATTTGAATTCTCATCAGAAAAAAAAAATTGGTTAATATATTTGTGTGCACTTGCATACAACCCCATACATTTTTAGTTGTACAATTATAAATTAGTTTTAACTTCCACATATGCAAGGAAATACATGTCCTTTGTCTCTGGGCCTGAAACATCTGGTTTATAACCAAGCTATCAGGCCCAGGACTTACAATTATATTTAGTTACTGGAATTAACTCATTGTTAATTTAATTTCCTGCCTGGTGGATCACTGGAAATGTTTTTTGTTTGTTTCCTTTTTTGGTTGCCAGTACTGAGATTAGAAGTCTGATTCAGGGCTCTGTCCTGAGCTCTTTCACTCAAGGCTGGTATTCAACCACTTGAACCACACACTTCCACTTTTTCTCTCAACCCTTTAGAATTTCTATTACTTCAGTGGAACTAGACATTTGAAATCCTTTGGGGGCTTTTCTGGAGGACAGCCTTCTCTTTTCATAGAAATTGCTAGGTTAAGTATCATTTCAGATTGATTTTGAAGTTGAGTATTGTAAGCTATCCGCCATATATATATATATATATATATATATATATATATATTTATTTATTTATGGGCAGCCTTATTGTCACATGCTTCATTTTGTGTCACAGAGATTGTGGAATAACAGAAAGGGAAAAGCCACATCCCCCACTCCCCAGGGAGTAGGAATTTATGGTTTATAATGACCTGTGGCCCTTGGGTTACATGAAGAGTTCCAACCCATTCCACGAGTTCAGCTGTTACCGACGAGCTAGCCATGTGGGAGGAAATGTGAACAAATGTGAGCAAGCAGCAGCTCCTCACAGCCAAGCAACGATTCCTCAGAACTCAAATCTCATCCAAATGTAATAAAAGATTCTTTCTTTTTCCTCTTCAGAACCAGAATTACAGACTGTGTTTTCTAAATCACCTCCAGGAAAATAACCTTCAGTTTAGAGGATTCTTTTCATTTAGATTTTTTTTTTCTTTTAGAGAAAGGGCAGGAAGGTCTTATGGTTAAGGCATTGTCAGAATTTCTTACTTACAAAAAGACTCTATGTGTGTGTGTGTCAGTAGTGGGATTTGAAATCAGGACCTGGGTGCTGTCCCTTATCATTTCTGCTGAAGGCTAGTGCTCTACCATTTGAGACACAGCTCTATTCCCAGCATTTTACTGGCTTGGGGAGATAAGAATTTCATAGACTATCTTGTCCATACTGGTTTTGAACATTGACTTCAGATCTCAGTCTCTAGAGTAGCTAAGATTACAGGTGTGTCACCACACCTGGCTAAAAGGATTCTTTTAGTCCAGGTTTGTTATAGTATTTTTGGGTTCTTGTTCATTTCTGAAAATACTAAAAGATTATTATTTGAACTGGAGGTAAGCAAAGGCTGTGATGACATTGTCTAAAAAGAAATGCCCTTATTACCTGACTTATGAAACCCCCTTGTACAATACCTTAATAATAACAAATAAATTTTTTTAAAAATCTCTGAGGACTGAACCCAGGAACTCTCATATACTGGGTAAGTGCCTTACCACTAAAGCTGCATACTCAGCTCTCCTCTGAAACCTGCTAATATGAGTCTCCGATTTGAACATACTGACCAAGGCACAACAAAATGAACGAAGCATTGTTGCTTGAATATGCAGTTGTTCCTAATGGATTCAGCCTTCTCAGCAAATCCTGTGTCCATTCCAAGTAATTAGAAGTTTACTTCAAAACTGTGTACAATCTTCACCCTTTACACGTGGCACAAAACAAATGGGAAGCTCTTTAGATTTAGAAAGCAGTAGAAAACATTTTTGCCAAATTATGTTGCAAGTAGGTCATAAATTATAAAATTTAAATATAGGGAGGAACCTAAACTTAAAAGATAGAAAATCTTAACCAAGCACCAACAGCTCATGTTTGTAATCCTAGCTACTGTAGGAGGTTGAGATTTGAGAGCTATGCTTCAAAGCCAGCCCAAGCAGAAAATTCCATGATACACTTATCTCCAATTAACCACCAAAAAGCCAGAAGTGGAACTGTGGCTCAACTGGTAGAGTGCCAGACTTGAGTGAAAAAAAGCTAAAGAATAATGCTTCAGCCCTAAGTTGAAGCCTGCAGTACTAGTCCCCCTCCATCCCTCAAAAAATGAAAGAAAAAAAAAACCATTACAAATGCAACCACATATTTTGGGAATTTCTTCAAAGTTGCTATGGTAACTACAGAACTACTTTCCTAGTCTTGTAGTCACTTGGCTAATTCTAAAACTGATCCTCAAGTCAGA